CAGGCGATGGATCGGTTCATCCAAACCACTTCCAGTTCTGATCTCATCCCCACCATGCTTAAGGCAGACCCAGGACAGATCATACATTCGACCTTGATCACATTGGGCTGGACCGAGTTAACCACTCTATATCGAACTTGGAGCTATCTACAGCGGAAACTAGCTGATTTCATTATACATTTCAAACGCGTTAAAGGGGTTCTTTCCCTCATACAGTCCCGAGCAGCAGGATCCCACTTCGTTACAACCAGCCCCTCGCTGGCATCAGTACAGCCACGCAATCCCGAGGTTGTCGCAACCTCGCCTGCTGCAGCGAAATCAGAATTGTCCCAACCGTGTCCGTCCTCAGGGCCAGGTGGCACAGTCGCGGCCCATACATCAAGCTCAACGCATTCCAACAGCTCAATGCCCCAGCCACTTCGAATAGCTGATCCCGTGCGGCACTCCGCCGAGCTGGCTCGTCCATCAGAGCGTTGCCATCCAGTCTTGGTTTCCGCATCAAGCACGACACCCTCCATCGGCCCAACCTGTCGCAGGGCTGAATCGTCGTCCTCATCTGCTCAGTCAGGTCAGACAGCTCCCCCTTTGAAGTGCCCACTCAAACCAGTGTGCCCATTTGAACCGCATCATTTGATCAAGACAAGTTCACTGGACACGACTCACTCCGCCAGCTTGATGCATCGCAAGGTTGAACCATCATACTTACCCGTCCAATCGGATCAACTGGCCAGTTCATCGACTACCCTGTTGGATTGTCCGGCTGCACCTTCAGGGCACCCACCTAAGCTGGCGTGCTCGAACAAGCTGGACTGTTTAATTGCTACCGGCTCATCCATGGCAACATCCTCTGTCAGCTCGACGTATCATGCAGCCAAGACATTGCCATGGCCTGCCCACTCATACCATCTGACCGATCCTCCACAACATTTGCTTGAGTCATCACGCACACAGGAGTTGCTCCGCCTAGACGTGTCATGTCTGACGAGTGCAGCACACCTTGATGTTTCGACACATCGCACAGCCGTGTCATCGCTTCCAACTGTACAGTCAGATCAGCTAGCAGACTCGTTGCAGTGCTCACTTGAGCTGGCGCGTCCGTTCGAGCAATTTCATCCAGTTGTGGCTCGTTCATCAAGCGCAGGGCGCTTCGCTAGCCCAACTTGTCGCAAGGCCAAATCGTTGTCATCACCCGCTCAGTTGGATCGACTTGCTGCCTCCTCACAGCACTCATTTGGTCCAATGTCCCCATTCGGGCATTGTCTGGCTGCAGACCGTTCAACAAGTACAATGGGCTCCGTTGGTCCGTCGCGTCACGAGGTCGAGCTTTTGTCCTTGCCCGTTCAGTCGAACCTCTCGACTGACCCTTCACAATGCCTGCCCGAGCTATCATGCTCACACGAGTTGTCTCATCTAATCGCACCCTATCCATCGAGCGCAAAGTACCTTGACGGCTTGACACAGCACGCGGTAGAGTCGATGCTCCCGACTATCCAGATGGACCGACTGTCTGCTCTCTCGCAGCACCCACTGGAGCCAACACTCCCACGAAAACTGACGTCCAAGCGCCTGACTGCCCAGCCAGTCCAGCCGGTTGCTTCTTCGCAGCATTCACTGGAGCTGGCATGTCCGTCAGAGTGGCTTTGTCCAGCTGTGGTTCGTTCAACAAGCACGACACACTTCGTTGGTCCAACCGACCATGAGGCCGAAACGTCGTCCTCATACACTCAGTTGGGTCGACCCGCTGCCCCTTTGCAGCACTCATTCCAGCCAGCACGCCCATTTGAACCCCTTCATTCGGTTCAGGCTGGTTCACCGAATCAACCAGCTGGCCCATCGAAACTAGGTTTCCCTACTGATCGGCGTTCACCCGAGTTGATACATTCAGACGAGTTGCGTCACTCTGTCGCGGCCTGTTTATCGAGTGTGGTGCAATCCACCAGTTCAACACGTCGCATAGCTGAATCGACGTTCCCGATTGTTCAGTCAGATTGCCTGGCTACTCCTTCGTATTACCCACGTGAGCTAGAGTGCCCGCATGAGCCAGACAGATCAGTTGCAACTAGCTCATCGACTATGATGCACGCCACGGGGACGATACGTTACACAATCAAGCAGGCGTCAACATCCACCCAGGTAATTCGTCCAGCCGCTCCATCGGATTGTCCTCTCAAGCCAGAACGCTTGTGTGCACCGCACCACTCAGAGTTGGACTGCTTGGCGACACCTTCATGGTACCCCTTCAAGCTGGCACGCTCGAATGAGCCGGACGGCTCCATATCTGCCAAGTCATCGACTGCGATGTGTGTCGCTGGTTTGACACGTCATGTGGTCGAGTCATCATCCAAGTCCCCGACGGCCCAATCAGATTGCCCGGCTGCACCCTCATGGCGCCCACCGGATCTAGTGTGCTTGAATGAGCCAGATAGCTTAACTGCCACCCGCTCATCCATGGCGATGTTCCCTGGCAGCTCGACGTGTCTGTCGGCCAAGCCGACATCATCGCTCGTCTGGTTAAACTCCCCCGCTGCTCCTGCACATCATCCTTCCAAGCCCTCGCGCTCGCCCGTACTGGATCGTTCAGGGGCGGTCCACGCATTGAGCATAGCGCACCACATCAGCTCGGCGGGTTGTGTAGTCAAATCAACGTTAATGGTCGCCCAGTCATATATTCCGTTCACCCCTTTGCGTCGTCCTCCCAAGCTAGTGTGTTCACATGAACTGCAACACTCACCCATGGCCTACTCACCATGCATGATGCATACCGACACTGTAGCGCGCCAGGTGATCGAGCTGACGCCCTCACAAGTACACTCAATGGTGGTCCGTCTGTTGACCATAGCGTCTCTCCAGTTGGACTCCCTGGCCGATCAGTTGCGTCGTCCTACTGAGCTGGTATGCCTGTATGTGCGGAATCTCTCAGGGGCAGATGACCCATCGATTTATTCGCGTCACCCTCACGAGCTGGGGCACTGGTATGATCCGTACCATCCAGCTAGTGCTGGATCGCCAATTGTGACGAATTCTATTGTTTCGACGCATCAAGCGATCGTACGTTCAGTCAGCATGGGTGTTCAGGCTCACAACAAAGCTCTCAGCTGCAAAGTCAACGCGTCCAAACCCCAGCTGGGCAGAACTCAGATCGTGACACTAATGTGGCCAGACTACGCTGCTGATGAGGACAATTGTTTCCCAATTATCTCGCCCTTTGACGGCTGGACCCATGAACTGTTGTCCTCGCCTGCCCAGTTGGATCCTCTGGAAAATCCTCCACATCACCCATGCGAGCTAAAACACTCTTGCGAATTGCGCTACTCAGCCGTGGTTGGTTTGCCAATTACAACGGGTCCCTTCGGTTTGGTGGGTCAAGTGATTGAGCCAATGACATCGCCTGGTCAGCCGGCTGCCCTTTCGTGCTCCACGCTCGAGTCAGCGAGCTGGCATGTGTTGTATCGCCCGGTGGCAACATGCACACCAACCACGACATCTTTCATCGATTTGACGCACTGTGCAATCAAATTGGCATCATCGCATGACCAATCGGATTCTCCAGCTGCCCCTGAGCGTCGACTTCCCAGACTAGCACGCTTGAACGGACCATATCGTTCGACGGCAATCCATCCGCTAATCCCGATACACGTCATCGGTTCAGCATGTCAATCCTTTCAGGTTGAAGGGCAACTCATCATCCTCACAGGTGAACCCGCTCTCAACAAAGGTCCCAGCCAAGAAACCTACACGTCTGACCTCCGGCTGGGTGGAACTCAGATTGTGCATAAGAATGGGAACTCTCATTGGCTGGAATCGAGTAATCCCGAGAGAACCACAAAGATATCGATGCAGTTTGGCTACGACCCCAAGGTCAAGGGCGGACGTCTCCCAATTACCTCGCCCATCGACGGTTGGAATCGTGAGCGGACGTCTCCTCTAGTTCAGTCGGACTCTCCAGCGGATCCCTTGCATTCCCCACTCGAGTTGGCGAGCTGGCTCGCGTTACATCGCCCGGCGGCAGCACATTCACTGACCACAGAGCAGTTCATTAATTCAGTGTGTCGTACCGTCGAGATTGCATCCTCTCACGAATGGTCAAATCCCCCCCCGCCGATCGCGAGGCATTCCCCCGGGATGACGCACCATGCGGCTGGGCCAGCTTCCTCGTACGTCCGTTCGGACCCTCCAGCTGTAGTTACGTACTATTTTCTCCAGCAGGAGTGTCTGCCTGGTTTAGTGGTGGTTTGTACTTCGTTGGCAATGCATACTGCCAGTTCAGCGCGACGCAGGGTCAATGTGTCCTTGCATGATCAGCTGGACCTTCCTGTTGGTCACCCTCCAGAGTCAGCATGCGTATTAGTATGTCACGTATTACTCTCGCTGGGTTTGTTGGACATCTTGGCAGCTTATTCACGACGCCCTCACAAGCGGGGACACTCGCTCGGCCCGCACCGTTCAGTCAGTGCCGGGTCACTGATTGCGACTAATCCTACTGGTACGACATGCCGAATGATTACGCGCCCCGCCTATACGGGCGCTCAGGCTCTCAACAAAGTTCCCATATGCAACATCTACACGACTTATTCCCGTCTGGGCGGATCTCGGGTTATGACGCTGATGTGGCTAGGTTACGTCCCTGATGTCAAGGGCGGCCATCTCACAATTGCCTCACCCATTGACGGCTGGGACTCGTGTTCGCATATGCAAAAGGAGCCAGAATATGAGTTGAAGCGCACGGAGCCACTCCTGGCACAGCCGCCCAGGTCGCGTCTTGGACTTCACAAATGGATACACACCTTGTCATTGTGCTTGGAAATGGTAAGCACGACGCGTGCACCGTGGCACCATCCACGTGAAATGTTGTACCCACCGGACATGGTACATCTCGCCTCCAAGTCATCGTGACAGTCGTCTCCTGCACGTCTGCCTGCTTCTCTGCCGTCAGCATCGGTGTGGGAACGATTATATGCTAAAGGAAGAACCTCGCGTCCTCAAACTGAAGCCAAATTCACATTGGACAGGTTTCTCAATGGGTTATGTCATCCCATTTGTACCCTCGTTGAACCGTTATGCGAAGCAGTTCAGATCTTCGCTCAGACCACCACTGCAAATGGTTATATGTCGGGCCCGATCGATGATGTCAGTGGGAAGGACGTCCCCACCTTGCAGGTTGTTCCCGATTATTCCAAGCCCGATGGATTACGCGCTGCATGGGGCTGTTCAGACCGGAGACCAATATCGTCTATGGGGCATTATAGACATAACAGTACGAGCCCGAGTGCCGGCAAGAAAACCTACGTCAAGACTCAGCCCGAAGGCTTGCAGTGGCGCCTATTTTTTTTTCGCGCAAACCGCCCGTTTATCTCAGCGCCCTCAGGTACTCTTGCGCCCATAGCCAGGTCATCATATCAGCCGATTCCAGTTGTCCCGATGCACTCTCTGAAAGGGTCTCATCATCCGATCAATCTGAAGAATCCCTTTCCCAGTCAGGTCACTCCTGCTACCCCAGCATCATACTGCGAGAAGACCGGCCCATCTCAACCGGCCTCCAAACCAGCACAATCCTCCCGTGTCCTTGCACACTCACCCACCGTTTGGTCGTTTGCATTCCTGCCAGGTGGGCCCGGTGTGTGTGAAAGGGCGTCAAGTCCCCGAGGCTCAGTGACTGGATTCCCAGGAGGTCGGGACCACCGCCAGAGGATCACCCGAAAGGTTACTTGCACCAGACAAGTCATAGGCGAGGCCCCGTCTTCGTACTCGCTCAATACAGGGGATGAAAGATCCAACTTGGGATTAAGTGTATTAAACGGACTAACCTCTCCCTCCTCCTCCCCGAGCTACCGCTGAGACCCCTGGTCTCCACCTCAGTTCCCACATGGGTTGCTGTGCGAACGCGGTCCAACGAACCTATTTACCAATGTTTAGTTCGAAACCTTCTGTCATAGTTCTTCTCCGTGCTCTCTCTCTCTCAGCGCCCATTCCTAACCCTGGAGGCAGCCATGGCCGATCGAAATTCGCTGGGTAGCGTCAGTGGTTTGGGATGGGAGTTAGACCTCGCAGTACAGTCAAGACGCATCAGGAGCTGCCGATCACAATTCCCGACGGCCTGGGGACCCTCATACCTCTGGTCGTGGAGGGGAGCTGTCTGCACCTTCGACTGACACCAGCTCAGTGGGCTACCCTTTGTCTGCTGCCCAATTGCTATCGTTCTATCCGCATCCAGCATTAGCAGTCACGCAGTTCCCGTGCTTTCTTGCACCAAACATTCTTACATCGCAGTCTCAATTACGACCAGACTCATCGAGTCCCGAACCATCGGTGGTCACCTCCCGGCGGAGGCTAATCCCACCCCAAAAATTGTACCATACACGTATCTTAGCGCTTAACCCAGTCGTTGCCACGTCCCTTGGGTCAGGCGGTCTTATACTAGAGCGCCTTTCTTCCGAACCCTATGAACCTTCCGCCCATGCCAGAGTCGACGCGCACCGAAAGGCTCGTTTGCGCGCTATTTTACGATCCTTACAGGACAGGATATCAACGAGGAAAGGAACGCGCACCATTACAGTATGAAAACCCGTACGCGCCCTCATTACATTCGCCACCAAAAGTGAGCGTTGTCAAATGCATCCATGAAAGCCAGCAAGGCTCCTCGTTCCGACGGCCTCTTCATGTCCTCCGAGTCGTTCGTCTGGAGGGGACCACCTGCTCTTGCCGACACAGTTTGCTACCTCTTAGCACTAGACTATATCGACACGTCCCCACTGTCGCTCGGTAGCCTGGTCGAGACCTAGCGTCTGTGGACAGATGTGTGCTAGCCGCATATCTGCATCCTCGCCCACACACACATCAAGGACTCTGTTGCTGACAATAGTTCGCAGGCGTACAAACGTGGGTGTAGAGTGGAGAGGACCTCGTCTACCCGAGTTTACAGTCAACCGGAGGGGTCGCGATCACCGCCAGCTGAAGAGGAGTTACTATGCCACGTAGTTCTCTGTGCACCCAACCGGGAAGTCAGGTCGTAGAGGTGTATCTTGAGTGTCGTTTACCCAACTTGTGGGACATTACGGCACCCTCGCAATGTCAGGGATGCCTTTGGCAGCCGCCTGGCTAGGGAAGTCACCTGCCTATGCCCTCTTTCCTCGCAGATCTCGTTGGGAGACATCCCGATGCGTTGTCAGGGCCGCCAAATTGTCTCGATCTGGAACAGTGCCGTTTGGTTCGATTCACGGTTCTGAAACTCCCAATTCATAGCAACATCTGGCCGTCCTTCCCGATACACCCTGCATCTTGGTATGCAAGCCACTCACATTGCTACTTGCGCCGGTTTCGGTGCGATTTCACCCGAGTTATTGGTCATCCCCGGCCCCACCAAGGAATGTTGTGGCCAATCCCTGTACCCACCTGGATCATTAAGCGACTGGCTGTAGCGAAGGGGTCCTTTGGTCGATGGGAAACCCAACCACAGTTCACACTCAAGCCAATGTGTTTATGTTGGTGTCGCTATCGACGCTCTTGTGCTGGTCGACCACGATATGTCCTCTCTACCTGCTGAATATTCCCGGACATTCTCAGCACTCCTTGGCTAAACCTCTGCATACGCCGCATCCCATGATGCACCGCCCTCTCATCATAACATCTCATATATTTTCGGGGTATCTCCCAAGCACATGTACTCACTCCGCTCACTGCTACACTGCCTGCTAGAATAGCCGGACCCCTGAGATATGATGTAGTCAACTGTCAATTGGTCTGGCAGACTTACCTATCTGTTATAATCCATGTCAATCCGATCCCGCATGGAAGTCCCACATGAGGAGCCGGATTTCTGGTCAAGCGGCCCTACAAACCATTTGCCTCCTTCAAAGCTAGGATGACCAGAGCACAATTTCACACAGGATCATACAGTCCGGACTGACCAGTGGACTTGGGCTAGGTGCTGCCACTCAGTTGTGAGGCCTCACCTTAGAACCGGAACCATTTGGAGCCCAGCCCACACCCACAATGCCGTTTTCAAGTTCCCTTCCTCAGAGATGAAATCGACAAGGCTCCACTCGGTGACCTAGAGTATGGAGTACCAGTCTGGCATTACCACCTTGCCCCTTTGGACTTGCACACTGGCCCATAAGAGTCTGGGGGGCGATGTTATAGAGATGGACTAGATTCTTATGGTCCGTGACTGCAAGTAGGTAGGTTGTCTCTGCCCTCCATTATATTTCTCTGTCAAACTCCATGCCAAGCTTTCCCACTGGGTTTTGGTGCTGGCTGGGGGAATTGTTAAGTTTCAAGGGACTTCCCTTGACCATTGAGACTTTGATATTAGATAGAAACCAGTCATATGACATGTAAAGGCAAATGCCGAGGATGTTGATCATTATCAAATACATAACCCAAAAACCTTGTACCGCGATTGTAACATCCTCACCATTGTGCCACCACTGTAAACTCAACCTGTAACCCTGGAACCATGTCCACCTCCCTATTCCTCCTCTCCATGACAAAACCACAGCGAGGAGGGCATTCCCATGCCCAACCTCCTGCTGCCCGCTCCCACCAGTCCACCAGGTGGTTGAGTGGTCACTCCCATCCAACCAGAAGTTCCCTATCAGGAACTGTAGCCTATCCCACCTCCTTAGGAGAGGGATATAGTCCAGGCAGCTCCAGAATGTCTGGCCCCGCACCCACGGGTCCCACTTCCCACGGTCACTCACTACCGTGCACTGGTCCACCAGCCCGCTTTCCCCAACAACCCTCGCTACCGGTACGCTCCCATGAGCGCCAAGTCACCGATAGCCACCAACTGGGTGACTCCCTTTGGGAGTCCCAGTATCCCATGCTACCGGTACGCTCCATTGAGCGCCAAGTCACCGCTAGCCAACTGCTCCCAGCACACCCGCTACCGGCACGCTCCCAGGAGCGCCAAGTCCCCGTTAGCAGACAGCCAGGTGGCTCCCTCAAGGAGCCCATGTCATACTCGCTACCGGTACGCTCCCAGGAGCGCCAAGTTACCGTTGGCCAACCCACAGGTTACACTGCCAGACACTCATCCCATTCCGCTCTCCCTCCGATGGCTACGCAGCCACCTCCATTAGTGAGCCGAACGGCTCAGGTTGGGTTCCCCGGAACCCATTCCTGTAACAGAGGAAAGGGGAGAGGAGTGGAGGAGAGGAAAGGTGTCAGGTCCAAAGGTGAGTATCGGAGCGGATGGGAGAAGGGTAGGAAGATGACGGAAGGGTGGAGGTGTTGTGTGGAGGAAGTGGAGGAGTGGGAGGAGGAGTAAGAGGAGGGTGGCGAGAGGAGTGGTGTTTGGTCTGAGGTGAGTATCGGAGCGGATGGAGATAGGACAGGAGAAGGATGGAGGAGTGGTGGTGGAAAGAGGGGTGAGAGGAGGAGTGGTGTCAGGACCGAAGATGAATATTGGAATGGACAGCAGTAGGGTAGGACTCTGGAGGTGGTGAAGAAGGAGGTCCAGGAGTCGGGTCAGGATCGGGTATGCACAGATATGACACCAACCGAGGATTGTTTGAACCTTTGGTTATGTTCTTTGGTCTCTGCAACTCCCCCGCAACCTTCCAGACGATGATGAATGACATTCTCCAAGAGTTTATTGACAGAGGTGTTGCCATCTGTTATATGGATGACATCCTACTTTTCACATCGACTCTTGAAGAACATCGTCAGGTCACCCTGGAGGTGCTAGCCACCCTGCGAAGACACAAACTCTTCCTCAAACCAGAGAAATGCAAGTTTGAGCAAACCCAGATAGAGTATCTAGGGCTGGTGATATCAGAGAATCAGGTAGAGATGGACCCAGTAAAGATCAGAGGCATCATGGACTGGCCAGTCCCAAAACGAGTCAAAGATGTGCAATCCTTCCTTGGATTTGTGAACTTCTACCAGAAGTTCATCCATGACTTCTCTGAAATTGCCAGACCCCTGAACGCACTGATGTGGAAGTCCAGACCTTGGAGATGGGGCAGAGAGGAACAAGAAGGGTTCGACACCTTGAAAAAGGCTGTCACCTCAGCCCCTGTCCTTGTCTTCCCTTCAGACAAAGGGCATTTCCAACTAGAGTGTGATGCCTCTAACTTTGCGACTGGAGCTGTTCTCTCTCAGCTCCAAGAAGATCGGCAGTACCACCCAGTAGGGTTTATGTCCCAAAGTCTGAATGACGTTGAGCGGAACTATCAGATCCATGACAAAGAGATGCTTGCAATAGTCCATGCTTTGGACGAGTGGAGGCATTTCCTGGAAGGAGCAGCAGAACCTTTTGAAGTCTTCACTGACCATCGAAACCTCTCCTACTTCTGGTCAGCCCAGAAACTCAACTGACACCAAGCCCGATGGTCCCTGCATCTCTCTCACTTCGACTTCATGCTCACACACAGACCAGGAAGACTCATGCAGAAAGCAGATGCCCTGTCACGACAAGCAGACCACCCACAAGGAGAAGAGGACAACTCTGAGGTCACACTGCTACGCCCAGACCTTTTCTGCATCCGAGCTGCAGCGGCTGTCTCTCTCCCAGCAGAAGAGGAGGGATTCCTGCAGCACATCAGAAGGTGCAAAAGGATCGAGGGCTCCGTTGCAAGCGTAACCCGTGAGTTAGAATCTGGACCTGAGGTGCCTCTAGGGTGGGAGCTACATGAAGGGCTTATGCTCTATCAAGGAAGGGTCTATGTTCCCCAGGACCCCCTTCTCCGCCATGACATAGTCCATGCCCATCACAACACTCCAATGGCTGGACACCCTGGTTGGTGGAAGACATTAGAACTCATGTCTCGGAACTACTGGTGGCCAGGGCTCTCTCACTACATCGCCAAATATGTATCTGGATGTGACACCTGCCAAGGGGTGAAATCCTTCCCTACTTGAAAGACTGGGAAGCTCATGCCAAACAAAGTCCCAGACCGACGCTGGCAGATTATCTCAGTCAACATCATAGGA